TCCACGGGCCCCCCTCTTTCCTGGGACAGGTGCGTATTGAGCCTGCTGGGGGGGGGCCCTCTCCTTTCCATGTCTGGTTGTGCTCAGCCTCATTTTTTTGCGAGGGGAGAGATGACCGTGAGCTGGGCTGGGGCGAAAGAAAGGAAAAGCCTGCCGCAGGGCGTAGGCTCAGCTTCTCCACTGCGGGACCCCGGGTGGGCAGGCGGGCGCACGTGGCTCCTGTGGGTTCCCATCCAGAAGGTGCTGGGGGGTCATGGCACCGTTAGCCTGTCTGGGCCAGGCAGGGCTCTGGCCAAGGGGCTGAGTCTCCAGCAAAGAGGCCCCGCTCCCCTTGCCCGCCTGCGCAGCTCTGCTTTGTACCAGCCCGGGTCCCTTCCTTAGGCCAGCCTCACCTTGCTGGAGTGGCACAGCCTTCCTCACACCAACCAACATCATGCCCAGAAGTTCCCAGCCGAGAGTTCACTTCCAGCAGGAGGTCACCGAGTGGCCTTTGTTAACGGCAATCCGCTGAGTTGGGCTGGCCGGGGACCTGGGGCGGGGTGGATTCAGACGGCAGTGGGGCACTTTGGCGCTTGGTGAAGTGGGGCACAGTCTCCCCACCTCCTGTCCTGAGGGGAGGGCAGCAGCTGCTCCTCCTTCAGGGAGGGGGAGGGGCAGCAGCCATCCAGCTGGGGGGCAGGGAGGAATAGGCCTCGGAGTGGGGTGGGAGAGCGACAACAGGCGAAGCTCCTGAGAGAGGTGGGGAAGGGCGATGGGCACACTGGGGCATATGGTGGAGGAGCAGGAGAAGCTCTTCTGCTTCCTGCCCTCCACTTTGTCTTTGTTCTGGCTGCCTGGCAGGAGGAACGTGCCCATCATCAGGCCCCACTCATGGCATCTGGCCAAGCTCTCCGAGGTCCAGACTGAGGCCGCCACCATGACCTTTCCTGCTGACCCCCTCAGCCTCTTCTGGCATTTGGGCTGTGAGACGAGGTGAGTGGTGGGCGGGAGGCTGGGGACTCTTTTCTGGCTGGGGGGCGTGCTTCAGCACCAGTGTAGGAATGGGGGGGGCCGTTTGGCTCCTGCGGTCCTCTAAGGGGGGGGAGGGTGCCCTTTCTTCACTGCTTCTGTGCCCCAGGTGGACAGCTAGTCCCCCCACCCAAGTGCTTGAGTCCTGGGCTAAAAGTGGGCAGCAGAATCCGCCCGGGACACGGGGGAGGTTCACCCGGCCAGGCCATGGCGGCAATTAGCCTCGGGCTCTGTTCTCCCACCTGCCTTTGGTGGCCCCAACTGGGAACGCAGAGAACAGCTGGGTGTGGCCACCTAGCGCCCCAGGCACCTCCGCTTGATGCCCTTCCCCCCTTGGCTCTTCTGCAACGCACGTGGGGCAGCCCCAGCGCATCTTCTCTGGCTGACCAGCTCCTTCCCAGAGCTCTGGCTGGACCGGGTACCGCTGTGCCCACTCCTGAGCATGGGATGTGATGCCGGGCAGCGTTTCCCCCGGAGGCCCTGGTGGCGTTTTCTCCCATCAGGAAGGGAGGTGGCCCAACATCACTCAGGCTGCCAGCAAGAAAGGAGTAATGGCTTCAGTTCCTGGCCCGAGCGGGCGAGAGAAGCTGCCAACTTTCCCTGAGTTGGAGGGCGTGACGTGGCAGGCAGGACCCACGCACCCTTCTCTAGCCTGAGAGCTGCACGCAAAGCCAGGCGGGACCGTCCCTTTCGGATTACACGGGGAGCTGCGCCGCGCCCTGCCCCACACAGGGTCCCCTGGAAAAGCACCAGGCTGACCCTTTGCAGGGTAAAACTGCAGCCCCCCGTGGCTTGGGACCAGCTCTCCCCATCCAAATGGAGCTGGGGCCTGGCAGTAGCTGGACGGGAAGTGGCTGCTCTAGAGCCCTTGAAGACGTGGACTGGTAGTGCTGCCCTGGCCCCGATGTGCCGACGCTGCTGCTGCTCGGTGGCACACAGGGGGTCCTTTGCGGCAGGAGGGGCTGGGCCTGGGCCTGAGTGGCAGCTCCTATCACCCTCCTTGGCCTGAAAGCCTTTCCCTGCCCCAGAAATGTCCCCCTCCCGCGTCTGGGCAGGGGCAAAGGGGGCTTGTGGCCTGAGAGGGGCAGGTGGAAGGCCAAGGGGTCACGGGAGGCGGGCGAGTCTCCAGGTCTGGAGGGGCCAGTCAGGATAGCCACGAGGGGAGGGTGGCGCTGCACCATCAAGTGGAAAGCAGCTGTGGGCCAAAAGTAGTTGGAGCCAGGCGGGGCTGCCCCACTGCTGACGCGGGGCCTCCCCTTTCTTCCTGCCCCCAGTGACCTGCCTTTGCCGTGGAACCCTCTTTCTCCCCACTACACCACAGAAAAGAACAGCTCCCTCGGGAGCATGGAGAGTCTGGACCCGCCCAGCCAGGCCTACTACGAGGGCAGCCCGTCTCCCATCGACCAGGCCATGTGCCAGAGCAAGCGGGACTCTGCCTACAGCTCCTTCTCAGCCAGCTCCAACGCCTCCGACTCCGTGCTGCGACCTGAGGAGGGCAGCTCCACGGACGGTGCCCAGCCCGCCCAGCTGCCAGAGCCTCGCTACCTGCAAACGGGCGGTGAGCCGGTGGGCCTGCCCTGCCCGGCTCCCGGTGCCAGGCTACCCTCCAGCGTTCAGCCGAGCTCCCTTCCCAGCCCTGCCAAAGTGGCTGCCGCCCCTCCCCAGCCGCCCTTGAGACAGGACAGCCTGCGTGCATGTAACTCCCCGCCAGAAGCCCCAGGATCCCCGCCCCGCACAGGTTTTTTGTGTTGTGAGGGCCAGTGGAGCTCGGACGCCTCCCTCTGCACACCTGGCAGAGACCGCCATGGGCCGGGGGGGCAGCTGCCCACCACGGGCCCCCTGAAGGACTCTCTATTCACTGATCAGTACTACCTGCTGAGCTCGCACACAGAGCAGCCCTCCGTGATGGAGAAGGGCCCACGAAGCCCCCGCGCCCCTTTGGCTGAGGAGAACACCAGACGGCCCTTAGGAGACCCCCCTAAAGGGAAGGAGCATGAGACAGAGCCGGACAGCCACGAAGGCTCCCCGTCTCCCTGGAAGGCTGCCTGGGCCGGGCCCTTTGGCCATCGCCACAGCATCCCAGAACACTTGCTGGTTGCCCAGTTGCAGGCTCTGGATGTCTCCCGTGGCCAGGAGGGTCCTCACTGGACAGTGTCCCCACTGCACAAGGAGCAAAAGTACCTGCGGGCTCCAGAGCCATGGTTGAATCCGGGCCACTGCGGCCAGAACACCTGTGGACAAGCGGAAGAGCTGGGTCCTCTTCCAACCTCTGGGGAGGGGTCGCCGTCTCCACCACGGGGCGCATGCACAGCGCTAGAGAGTCCCCAGAGCACCCTTGCTGACCTGGCAGGTTCCCTGCCACCGCCGCCATTTGGAAATGCCAGCACTGCCCCATCAGACCTCCAGGCAGCCCCCTGCACAGATACTTTGCCAGATGCTGAAAGGAGCCCACCAGCTGCCCGGAAGGCAGGCTCAGCCCAGCATCGTTCTGCACAAACCCGCCGACGCAGTGACCGCTTTGCCACCAACTTGCGGAACGAGATCCAGTGGCGCAAAGCCCAGCTCCAGAAGGCAAAAGGTGCTGGGGTGCTGGGGTGCGAGGAGGAGCCTGCTCAAGAGACAGAAGAGCCCCATGCCCACACCGCGGCTTCTGCCCCACCCCCTCCCTTAGGGGAGGGCAAGCCCCATGGCTCCTCTGGGCTGCCGGCTGTGCCCCCCAAGCGCTGGGGCTCTGACCTGAGTGTGTTTGGTGGGGATAGCGTGCCAGGCAGCCCCCAAAGGCCACCTGGGGACCCAGTGCCTAAGGAGAAGGCCGCTCGGCCAGAGAAACCTCTGCCACCGGCCCGTGGAGGCCGAGGAGGCCGCTGGCGGTGGTCCCCGGAGCACAAGCTTCAGCCTCAGGAGTCAGAGCCGGGACCTTCCTTGCAGCCACCCCCAGAGGAACCTGGTCTTCTACCTTTCGCCGACCGGCGGAAGTTCTTTGAGGAGACAAGCCGGCCACCGTCCTCCGGGCCCTCGGGCTCCCATCAGGACAGGCTCCGGGGCGCACAGCCCCCCGAGGCAGAGAAGCCAGGAAGCACCAAGCATGGGGACTTCCGGCGCCACTCCCTCGACCAGTCCTACCGGTGCCTGGCATCGCCCCCCATCTACCAGGACTTCCAGCCAGAGGTGCTGGGGTTGTGCCAGCCCCTGGCTCGACACGGTCCAGAGGGCGACTGTTGGAGGCCTCTTCCTTGCTCTTGTGCCATCCGAGAGGCCTGTGCCTACAGCTTGCGGGATGAGTGTGCCATGCTGCATGCGAGGAACATGCCGGTGCCGTCCAGCCACTGTGCCCACCATTGTCACCCCTGTCCCTGGAGCTGCTGCAGTGACTGCTGTTGCCCAGCTCAGCAGAAGCTGCTGGAGGACGGAGGCCCCTGGCAAGCAAGGAAGCCTTTTCAGATGGTAAGTCGGATTCTCAGATTCATCTTCCCCGTCAGCCTGGTTCATCAGGTTTCTAGAATATTCCTTCCTTGCTGTGCTTCCAAGTTCCTTGGAGAGGCAGGTGGCGGGGAAGAGGAGGACCTATAACGGGCTGTGAGAATAACCTTGAGGAAGAGGAGGAAGAGCCGCAGCCAAGGCGAGGCCTGATAAGGGAAATCTGAGCCGAAGCAGGACCGGAATTTGAAAAAGCGTCTCAGACTTGACCTGCTCTAGTTCCCTCCCTCTATCAGGGCG